TAGATATTAAAGAGGAATTTTTCCTTCCTCTCTCCCAACCTCCCACCTGACTTTCCTTCCTCCCTCCCTGCCTTCCTTCCTGCCTTCCTTCCTTCCTTCCTTCCTTCCTTCCTTCCTTCCTTTTCATGTTCAGGGTTTCAGGGAAGGTTTATTAGAAAATTTCAGTTCTGTGATGGTAAAACAAAGTTGTATATATGGTAAAACATTCAGAATAAAAAAGATATACAATGAAAATAAGTTTTAAGTTTCCTTCCCTAGAAGCACCTCTCTTTGCCAGATTTTTGTGTATCCCATCAGATATTCAATGCAGGGACAAACATTTGTACACATTCCTTCTTTTTCTTATTACATACATAAAACCATTATATATACATGGTTTTGCCCTTGCTTTTTAAAAACTTAATCTTAATATATTGAAAACTTTAATTATATTTAATTAATATAATTTTAGTACAGAGAAATTAGTCCTTTTGCCATATGTGCTGCAAATATTTTCCCAGTTTATCATCTGTCTTTTGACTTTGTTTAGATATTTTTACCATGCAAAATTTAAAATATTTTACTTGGTTGAACTTATCGATTTTTTAAATGATTTTTGCATTTTTTGGGGAGTCTTTTTTGTAAAGCTTTCTCAAACCAGAAGTGAAAAATGGCTCCTCCCATGTGCTCTTCAAACGCTTTTAGAATTTTACGTTTTTTTCCAAGTTAAACCTTTCCTCCATCTAGAATTCATTTTGATGTAAGATTCATTTGGGTCCAATGGCTTAGCCACTGGACCCAATATCAATTATGGAATAACTGATCTCTCTTTTATTTCCTGATATGAAGTGCCAAGAATGGTAGTTTGGGATTTTCAGAGAAGGAAAGGACAAAACCTCAGGAAGAGGGAATAATGTGATGCAAGGAAGTCTGCATTAGTATTCTGACCCCTCACTCTATATCCACTGCTCTATCTCAATCTTTTCAAAAGAAACTGCCTCTGAAAATAGGGACCACTACCACTACTCCGGCCACTATAGCACTGAGTCAGTCCTCCTTATCTTCCAGACACTGGTCAACATTTTTTTCAGGCATTATCACACTCAGTCCTCCTATCAGCTAGGTAATGTAACTGTCTCTAATGTCAGGGTAAAGAACCGAAAGGAGTGAAAGGTTAAGTAACTCTCCCAAGACCACACATCCAGTAGATACTGCAACATATGCCTGAACTAAGCAGGCAGTTTGATACCAGATTCTGTGCTCTTAAGCCCCAGTGTGTAACACATTTCTATGGCCTCACCTGAACAGAAACCCAGGCTTCCCCTGAGAACATTTGCTTCCATTATGTCCTTTTAAGGGATGAGTGCTCATTTTCCAATATGGCAGGTGGAGGAAGATGGAATTCAAGACTGGAGGCTGAGAGATGATTTGGAAGGCTGCTTCAGGAGTTCAAAAGATAATGTTCAATGTCTGAACCAGACTAGAGGACATGCTTCTGAAATATGTAGAGGATAAAAGAAACCAGACTAATGGTTGAGTAGATGTAAAAAGGAGAAAGAGAAGTCAACGATGACACTTATATTTTTAACTTGTTTGACCAGATAGATGATGTTGACATCAATTCAGAGAGAATTCTAAAGGTTAATCTGGATTTCAAGGAAAAAAGGTGAAGGTGAGTTTAGTTTTTGACTGGAAATAACAAGCAGTTTCATATTCAGCTTTACATAACTGTGAGACCTAAAGTAGATACTGAGTCTGGAGAATGAAGCTTGGGAAATCATTAGTAAGTAGGTATAAGTTGAGATTTGGGAAGTGAGTGAGAGAGAATGAAGTTCAAGAAGAGCTGTAAGACAAAGAACCTTGGTGAACATCAGCATTCAAAGCCTGGGTGGATCCTTTCAAAATGGATAGAGAGAAAAACAGAAGAAACTAGAGATTCTAGTGTCAAGAAAAGTAAGACCCATAGGATCAAATGCAACTGAATTCAATTGTTTAAATGGAAAATATCCTTTGGATGCAATTATGAGGTCACTGGTGACTTTGTTAAGAATAATTTCAAGAGAGTGGAGTTGAACTATTTATGAAAAGTGATGTTGAGGTGACAATATGGGTTACTCTTTTAAGAATTCTGAGAGACAGGGGTGCCTGGGTGGCTCAGTTGGTTAAGCATCTGCCTTTGGCTCAGGTCATGATCCCAGGGTCCTGGAATCAAGCTCTGCATCGGGCTTCCTGCTCAGTGGGGAGCCTGCTTCTCCCTCTCCCTCTGCTCCTCCCCTCTTGTGCTTTCTCTCTCAAATAAATAAATAAAATCTTAAAAAAAAAGAGAGAGAGACAAACAAATAGAATGGTAACTCAAGGGGAATGTGAGATCTGGAGCTTTTCTTAGGGTAGGAGATACTGGAGCATGAGTATTAGCTGAAAGAAAAGAGCTAGCATAGAGATATAAGAAAGAGAGAATCTAATCATAGAAGACAGAAGAGAGAAGGGCCAAAGATGCAGATGGTATGGGGAGACTGGCTTCCTCCTTTAAGATGGAAGGAAATGATACCCTGGTGGGTGAAAGGTAGATAAATTTGTATACAGGGCAATAGGTGACTTGAGGGAAATTGGAAGAATTCACCCCTAACGGCCTTGATGTTCTGTTGCTCGCTACCAGATTATTTTTTGTTGTTGTTATATTGTGATTCTGTTTTTTAAGTATTCTTCTTCAATGTGGTAGCTTTAAAACACAGTTAAGTCAAATACCTCTCTCCTTGTAGCTGGCCTGTTGTAACTGACTTGATCCTAATGAATAGAAAGTGGTGAAATTGTGCTGTATAACTTCTGAAACCAAGTTGTGTAAGGAGATACAGCTTCCATCTGGTTCAGGATTTCTTAAGAAGATTGCTCTTGGAACCCAGCTGCCATGCCCTAAGTAAGCTCAGGCCACATAGAGAGGCTACTTCAAGAGTTCCAACTGATAGCCTCAGCTGTGGCCCCAGTTGTTAGCCAGTGTCAACTCCCAAGTGTGAGTGAGGAAGGCATTTAGATGATGCTATATCGAGCCACCACCTGACTGCAACCACATTAGAGACCTTAAATGAGAGGCATCTAGCTGAGTCAAGTCACCTCCATCACTATTATAGAAAATAATAGTAAGTGATTATTGTTTTATACCACTGCAGTTTGGGGCAGTTTGTCCTGTAGCTATAATCAGAACACTCAACAATTGAATTAAGCTTCACAGCTGTATGGTCAGTAGTTATTTAGGTGTAACATATTTTATTGATTTATTTGATTAATCATAGTCCCCCATGTTACCCTTTCCCTCATGTTCTTTCTTCACTCTGATGGAATACATACTGAAGTTTCTTTCCTCCCAGAATGAAATGTGTATCTCTGGATAACCTGGAAAATACTTGAGAAGCAGGTTTGGACTTTTATAAAATCCTAGACTCAAAGTTATTTTCTCTCTTCATTTTCTAGTATACAATTTTGCAAATGAGAGTTCTGATTCCAACATTATTCTTACTCCGGAGTAGTTGATGTGTTTCCTCTATTTTTTTTTTTTTTAAGCCTTGACATTTGGGAACTTCACCAGGACACGTATAGATATTCCTTCTGCTTGGGATGCTCTCCTCCCAGATCTTTTCATGGCTAACTCTTTCTTGATGCTCAGACTTTACAGCAAATGTCACCTCCTCAGAGATACCTCTGCTGACATCCCAGTATAAAGTAGTTTCACTCAGTCATTGTTTATCTCATTATCCATATAACTTTGTTCAGAGATTGTATTGCTTTTAAATTTTTGTTTGTTAATTTGTTAATTTTGTCTCTTCTTTTTATTTTTTTATTTTTTATTTTTATTTTTTAAAGATTTTATTTATTTGACAGAGAGAGAGACAGCGAGAGAGGGAACACAAGCAGGGGGAGTGGGAGAGGGAGAAGCAGGCCTCCTGCCGAGCAGGGAACCCGATGCGGGGCTCGATCCCAGGACCCTGGGATCATGACGTGAGCCGAAGGCAGATGCTCAACGACTGAGCCACCCAGGCGCCCTCTCAATACCTTTATATGTCTGGTGCACCCTAGGTGATGGGGTGTTTTATATTCTCTTTGCCCAGTATTCTGTATGACTCTACTGTACTTCAGAGTTGGTCGATAAGCATCCCAGTGAAGAACGAGAATCCATTCTGGTCCAGTTTATGTCTTTGAGTGCACTTGGATTAAACTGGAAGGGCAGGTGAAGATGTCCAGGTGTTCTAATTTAATTCCAGTTGGCAAGGCCAGGGCCATGAACCCTGCCATACTTGGAGCCCAGTGGGCAGATCAGTTGGTCTTGCTTTATAAGAAGCTCTTCCTTCTGTTATAGGAAGATCAGGGTTACTTGGCACTAAGACTCGTAGACTCCATTCACTGGAAATTGTGTTACTGATTTCCCGAGCATTAGGCTGTAAATCTCACAACCAGCTAGCCTGGTCGCCGAGTTTTGCCTTTCCTGCTGGGAATAGTGGCAAAACGGGAGCTCACAGATATAGGAAGAATGGTTTGAGAAGCCCTACCCCATCCTTGGCTACTACACAGGGCAGCAGGGACCGGACCTGGCCTGCTGTTATTCCCCAGGGGAGCAGTGTTGAGGACCTTGGGTGCAGCCGAACCTGCCATGACCTTTGCAGAGGAGATGGCAGTTGAAGCCCTCTTCCCTTTGACCGTTGAAGTGCTTAAACTGCCGCCACACAAGGTGTAGGGAGGAGAATGCAGAAAAGGGGAAAGCCATTTCCTGTTTCGCGTTAACGATGCAAGTCTGGTTCTTTTTTTTCTTTCATTTTAAAGATTTATTTATTTGTCTGTTTGACAGACAGAGAGAGAGACACAGCGAGAGAGGGAACACAAGCAGGGGGAGTGGGAGAGGGAGAAGCAGGCTTCCCGTTGAGCAGGGAGCCCGATGCAGGGCTCGATCCCAGGACCCTGGGATCGTGACCTGAGCCGAAGGCAGATGCGTAATGACTGAGCCACCCAGGCGCCCTGATACAAGTCTGGTTTTAATAGTGATCTTAAACCTTTTCTTCTAGGGTTTACACTGTGACTTTGCCTGCCTGATGTTCAAACACCTGGTCCACAAACCTTCCGAGCAGAGAGTGAAGGAAATAATTATTAATGCCGTTCGGATAGAGCAGGTGGGTGTTGCATCAGGGTCTCTCGTGCCAGCTAGAAGGTGTCTTGATGCTTCCATTTTATTGAGAAGCTCTGTTTTGGTCTCTAGGAGTTCCTCACGGAGGCCTTGCCTGTGAAGCTCATTGGGATGAATTGCACGTTAATGAAGCAGTATATTGAGTTCGTGGCAGACCGACTTATGCTGGAGCTAGGTTTTGGCAAGGTAAAGTATTGTTTATAGCCTTCTGGTTCTTCTGATACTGGTGTTCTGTATTTAAATTTTCCTGTGAACCTTTTCAGGTTTTCAAAGTAGAAAATCCATTTGACTTTATGGAGAATATTTCACTGGAAGGGAAGACTAACTTCTTTGAGAAGAGAGTAGGCGAGTATCAGAGGATGGGAGTGATGTCAAGTCCAACAGAGAATTCTTTTACCTTGGATGCTGACTTCTAAAGTAAATCCAGATTATGTGGTTCTTACACTTGTGCAACACAAAAGTGAATAAACTGTTTTGCCTCGCATGTCAGGTGCAGGTGGAAGTCGGAAGTCGATTTCAGGATTCGGCCTCCCCGTTAGTGCATTAATGGAAGGATTCATTTTTGCCAACTCCAATTCAGTTTCCTGATCTTGTATATCCTGCTACTTTCGATATGCAGGTATCTGTGACGACCAGCTGCCGGGCAGGCACCGTTCTGAGGTGTTGGAGGTGCGGCTGGGGGCCTAGCCGTCCCTGTGCAGCTTACGTTCTCAAGGAGGGAGCTGATGCATGAGTGAACGGTTCTGGAGGCTGGAAATCTGAGATCAAGCTGTGGGCAGGGTTGGTTTCTCCCGAGGCCTCTCTGCGTGGCTTGCAGACGGCCGTCTCTTGTGTCCTCACACGGTCGCCCCTCTGTCTTTCTGTCCTTATCGCCTCTCTCTTCTTTTTAGAACATAAGATCCATGAAGGGAGAAGCTGGTCTATCTTGGTTATGATGGTATCTCTAATGTATCTGGCATATAGTAAATATTGAATAAAATATTTGATAAAGAATGAGTGAGTAGGTGTATTTGCTTTATTTCATTTTACTACTAAATAGGCTTTTCAATCTGAAGACTTGAATCTTTTTCAGCCCAACCTTTTTAAAAAGCTATCTTTTTTTTTTCATTTTCTATTTATTTCTTTGAAAGAGAGAGAGAGAGAGAACATGAGGGGGGAGGGGCAGAGGGAGAGAGAGAAAGAGAGAGAGAAGCAGACTCCCTGCTGAGCAGGAAGCCTTGGGGGGGCAGTGCTCAATCCCAGGATCCTGGAGCTCACGACCTGAGGCGAAGGCAGACGCTTAACTGACTGAGCCACCCAGGTGCCCCTAAAAAGCTATCTTTTGATTGTTTACTCTTCTCATTGCTCTTCTCTCCTAGAATATGGATACTGGACACAGTGGAATTCTCCTCCATATCTCCTAAAAGTTTTTCCCTATATTTTTCATTTCTTTTACTCTAATATAGGTACTAAAATATTTTCTTGACTCTACGTTCTTTAGAAATGTCCACCAGCATATTCAGTCCTTTTATTCATTTTAAAAACTTTAGCACTTATTTCCAAAAGTCCTTTATTTTTTCTGATTGCTATCTTTTATTGAATCTTATTTTTGCTTTATGAATTTGGTGTCTTTTGAATCTCTCTGAAATTACTAAAAAAATTTAAGTTCTCTTTTTGGTATGTCTGTTTCCCCAAATTATTTTTAGCTTTCTCTTTCATATTATCTGTCTTGGATGTCTGGTGGTCTTTGTTCTTTGTGTGTGAACTGGAAGGTGAAGGAGGAAGTTGATTAGTTTAATTGACTGGGTTGTATTTCCTCCAAAGTTGTTTAGCTCCACGCCCCAAACAGATCTTTCCCATGAATGAACCCTTGCCACCACCCCGCTCTTTGTATATGTGCTTCTTAGGTTTGAGTTGCTGAGAAGCTTCACTTAGACAAATGGGTTCTACACAGTTGGGATATTCTATGACCGATTTGTGCCATGGTTTTATTCTGCTTAATACATCTAATTCAATCTACTTTCCCTCATATACCTCAAATGCCTTTTGTCTGCAAATGACAGTGCTCTATATCAGTAGATATACATACATACATTAAAATTAAAAAAACATATTTAAACATATTTTCTGTCAACTTTGATAATACATTAAACCCGGTAACTTTCCTCCCAAATGCTTTTGAGTTTGTTTTAGTATTTTTCAGCACTGTGGTAATTTTTTCTCTTATATATCTTTTCTGTAATTTCGATGCACATTGGGAAGGAGGGCGGGGAAAACATTTGCCAAGTCAACCATCTCTATCTGAACACTACAACTTCCAGATTTGCACTCATATTCTAAATTTCAACAGCCTTCATGTGTCCTAAACTTATTTCAATCTGGTTTCTACCCCCAATTGTTTACTGAGGCTGCTCTCCCTACCATCCCTAGAACTGACTGATCATCAAAATCTGTGTCAATGTGCTATTCTCCAAGTCATGCTTTTCCTACTTTTAAAACTCTTCCTTGTCTAGGATTTTGTGGCATTATTTTCTTTTGCTATTTTCCTAGCCTTTCTTTCTCTATTTTACTGACTCCTCTTGTCCACTACTTAACTCGTGGATGGCGTGAAGTCATGGAACAAGTCTAAATGCCTCCGCTGATGAGTCATTCAAACTACTCACCCTCAACTCTCCTCACCGATCTGCATACAAATCCTGCCTGTTCTGCGTGGTCTCCTTATAGTCCCCTAAGTCTGCCATGTGTATTCCAACTCCACATTGGCTTGTATCATGCATCTGGCATGAAATGCCTGCCACCTTGACTACCATTCCTACCTAATCTTACCCCTCCGAATATTATGCAGTCATCAAAAGGAATGAAATCTTGCCATTTGCAACGACGTGGATGGAACTGGAGGGTATTTATGCTGAGCGAAATAAGTCAATCAGAGAAAGACATGTATCATATGACCTCACTGATATGAGGCATTCTTAATCTCAGGAAACAAACTGAGGGTTGCTGGAGTGGTGGGGGGTGGGAGGGATGGGGTGGCTTGGTGACAGACATTGGGGAGGGTATGTGCTATGGTGAGTGCTGTGAATTGTGTAAGACTTGAATCACAGACCTGTACCTCTGAAACAAATAATACATTATATGTTAAAAAAAAAAAAAAAAAGAAGAAGAAGAAGATAGCAGGAAGAGAAAAATGAAGGGGGGATTCGGAGGGGGAGACGAACCATGAGAGACTATGGACTCTGAGAAACAAACTGAGGGTTCTAGAGGGGAGTGGGGTGGGGGGATGGGTTAGCCTGGTGATGGGTATTAAAGAGGGCACGTTCTGCATGGAGCACTGGGTGTTATGCACAAACAATGAATCATGGAACACTACATCAAAAACTAATGTATGGTGATTAACATAACATAATAAAATAAAATAAAATAAAATAAATAAATTTAAAAAAGGGAGCCCAATTCTCCACCCTCCAGGAAGCATTTCCTGGCAAACCCAATACAGTATCTTTGAATTCTTTTAGCTTCTCTAGTTGAATAGTCTTATTATTATTTTTATTTTTATTTACCATAAACACCCATTTATCATTAATTACCTCTAAATTTATGTTTCACTTCCTTGGTTAATTTCTTGAAGAGCAGAGTTTGTGACTTATACAGTATTTAAAATTCTCTTCCTCCATACATAATCTAGTAATTTGAAGAGAGAAAGAACATTGCCATTGAAATAATAAGCAAGAAATCAATTGATCTGTAACTAGGGCTAATTACTTCGGTGCTAGGACAAAAGAGGTGAAAATTTTAGAGTTAAGGATTAGGTCCACCTTTAATGGCTGCAGGTGAAAAGTGTTAATAGCATTTTAATAATGATCTAATAGGGAAAGCACATTAGTCTAGTTAACAGGGTTTTAAACAGTTAACATCTGGATGGTTTTTCTGTTTTCTGTTTTTTGGGTTTTTTTTTTTAGGTTCTTACTTTCCTATGGAGCATTGGAGTATCAGAAAAACGCTTCTGCTTATTTGACACAGCTGGTTCCAAGAGCGATGCCTATGACCCAAACTTAATGAGGATTTCATAGCTTCATAAAATTGTATTGAAAAGGAAAACACCTGTCAGGTCAGCTACCTCAGATAAGAATACTTCCACGCACACTCTCCGGGAGATAAGTTGCTATGAGAACTTGTTGATTCTGGGCATAATGTTTAAAAAGGATCAAGATTTTTTAAACTCCTTTTAAAAAATTTTTTGGTTTCTTAGCTTATAAAACAACAAATCCTCTGCAAAATGGATTGAGAAGTTAGAAATCCTTTTCTAACTTTTAACTCTGGTTTATCTATTTTCCAATATAACTTTCTAGAATTTAGACATACGAAAATTGTGTTTATATTATCAGGTTAGATATTAAGTGAGGGAAAATTCATATAATTTCTAGATAATATCTTTGTAAAAAATGAAATTATTTGTCATTGAACTGAACTCTATTTTCAGGCTTTCTAAGATGCTATGGTCCAGACATTAGAAAAGTCTGGTTGGATATCTTGTTTGGAAGCTGGACGCATGTGGCTAAAGGTACCTAATGGACTTGATGCAATAAAATAAGGGTTTCAGCAGAAAGTGCCACACAAATAGGTATTTTCTTTTTTTTTTTTTTTGAAGATTTTGTTTATTTATTTGACAGAGAGAGACACAGCGAGAGGGAACACAAGCAGGGGGAGTGGGAGAGGGAGAAGCGGGCTCCCCTGTGAGCAGTGAGCCCAATGTGGGCCTCGATCCCAGGGTCCTGGAATCATGACCTGAGCTGAAGGCAAACACTTAACGACTGAGCCACCAGGTACCCCAGGCATCTTCAAAACAACTTCTTCTACTTAATAAGTTCTCCATATTCATTCTGTGGAATTGCTAAAAATGCCAATTGTTTTCAGTGGAAGAATATTTGTGTCAGGGTCTTCCTGAAATTTGCGTAATGGTGTTTGCTCTTGTTTATGTTCCTGAAATCTACTCAAACACTCATTGCCAAGAGTAAAAGCTTTAAAGAGATTATCACAAATTCTTGGAAAGAACTTATTTTTCTTTCTACAATTGTAACAACTCAGAAATGTCATTTACTAGCGAGATGATATTATAGTGAGATACAGTGAAATATCTTGATGCAAATATTTGTTCCTGCCTCCGTTCTTTGGAGCGAGATGAGTGTAATGTAGGCCTCCTTCACACTGAAGTTTGGTTAACAATATTGATATGGAAACCTCAGTTTCACCCTGTGTTATCAGTGGACAAGAGTTCCATATTTGCTTTAGTTATCTGAAAAAATCAGGTAAGGCCTTAAGCACCAAAATTGCCTTCAGTAATTTTCTCTAATTCATGGTTTTCATTCAACAGAAAACACTGAACAAAATTTAAATTTATTTATCATAATCCATCAATGTAAGCAACAGTTTGTGTAGT